GTCCGGGTGGGCTCCCAGCTTGTAGGCGGCGAGCGGGACGAGGTGGGAAAAGCCGGCCTCTCCGCGCCCGCCCTGGGGCGTGGGGGGTTCACCCCCAGCGGCTCGGGGGTTTTCTCCCTCTAAGCGACCACAGACAGATACAGAAAATCAGACGTGAAACTGAGACGACCTCCGTTTCTCCTTTTTTTACACCTGCAGGCCTCAGTAGTGAGAAAAAGGGCAGATAAAGCTTTGAACGGCGCCTGTCCAAGTAATAGCTTAAGCAGTCACGTAGGCTACCTTCGCCAAAACGGATTTTTGAAATCTGTTGGAAAAAGTTTGTACTAGACTTCTCTTGTCAACAGGGCCCATACATCTGTTTTTGCATCAGCTAAAATGCTTACTAGCACTGTTCAGGTTACTTATACTACCAAGGAAGCAGGATAAGGTCTAAGGGCAGGCCTTTGGTTATAACATGATCAATTCCTTTAATTGCAAAGATACTGAACTGGGTCCAGCTGGTCTCTCATAATCAATACTATAATGATTATTTTGAAAGTACACAAAGTACGATGAAAACAACCGCTGAAGCAAGCCTCCATGGCCCCTGCAACATCTGCAAATCCTTTTTTGAGTACTCCTCAGTACTCAAGGTTTTGTTTCTCCCCCACTATTAAAAAAAAAAAAAAGAAAATCTTAATTTAAGAATGAAGTCAATATATGCATGGCTGGAAGCAACGCTTCTCACATCTTTAAGAAGTTGAGCGATGGAGTCATTTGGAAAAAAGCAAGAATCAGGTTAGCAATACTACTAGCCGTGAACCACAGAAAGCGTAGTTAAGCACTTACTTAGGTCTTAATTTCACCTGCACGCTTTCCCTGTACACAGCTCTTGAATGCAGTCCGACAGGCACAGGTGCTTCACATTAAGTCAGTCTTTCCACCAAAGACAAACCTCTCTAACAAGACAATGAGAACAAAAGCCTCCCACACTAGCAAAACCAAAACCACGCGTCCAGATACTGGCCTGAACTGCACTTACAACCTATACATTTTAATAATGAGAGGGGCAGACAGGAAAACAGGCAATTATACAAAAGAATTTATTCCAAAAGTTGTGATAAAAATATTTCAAGGTTTTTAAAAAAAAAAAAAAAAAGCATGTTATAAACATTTGGTAAGATAATACATTCATTTAAAGTCTCAGGTTAATAGGCTCCACTGCAGGAGCGGTCCCTGCACAGGCAGGCTTCCTGCAGGCTGGGCGGCGCGCTGTGGGGCAGGCAGCACGCCGTGGGGCAGGCAGCACGCCTCGCGCGTTCCGGTTTAGATCTGCAAGGCTGTCTTCAGCCTGAGCTGATGCTCTTTTTCAGCTAAGGCCAAGCTTGCTCACTTTCCTCCGTTTACAAGAATCCAAGAAGGGACCCAAACCTAAGCACAAGCTCTTTAAGTGGTTACAGCGGGCATTTAGAAAAATAAATTGTCAGACATCCCACGTACGTGCAACTACAGTTCAAGTTAATGGAAGAGAGGGATTTAAACCCACCCTTGATTTCATGTTAGAGAGCAAAATTTTGCTTGCATATTTAGGCACTTAACTTCCAGAGTGCCTTCTGAACCAAGCAGTTTTGCCAACAAGCATTTTCCACCATCCTGACAGTCTATGACCTTAGATGTATACAAGAAAACCAAGGACTTTATAAACACTGAACAGAAGCCCCTATCTTTATCGAACGTAAGCTATTCATAGACTAAGTATGGAGTGTAGTTGAACATTGCAGTTTATTTTAACCTACTTCCAAAACCAGAGTAAACATGAAAAAAAAAGTTTAGAGACTACATTGAGGTCCTGCGGATGGCCTGTCTCCACAAAAGGAGAACAGAGTTTCGGATTATTACCTGGGTTTGAATCTGAATGGAATTACACGGCTATAGCGCTGTATGAGAACCAAAATAATTTAAAGACTTAAATACAAACCTGCCCTTCGATATACTGAAAAAAATCCCGTCACTTTAAAGTGTAGTACTGCAGAACACAACTGTACACATTTCCAAGTAGGGGTTTGTCTTTGCCTAGTAATTTTAAAGTGATTATAGGGCAACTTCATAAAAAGTAGATTACAACTCAAGAGTAGAGTATGAGAGGAGCACAGCATGTCACATTGTGTCAAGAAACGAGAACCTTCCCATGTTGAAATAGTTTTAAATGCATTTAAGACTGAACAATTTGAAATGTAAACCTGTCTATCTGCTTTGAAGAGTAGGTATCTGAAGTGCAACATTTCCAAGAGTCCTTCAGTTATGGATACTTTCTTGCTACAGGACTCCTCCTCTACTTACCTACTGGGACAAAACGTATAAGCTTTGCTCCTTAATAGCATTATACAATAACATTCTCTTACCGCTCACATGACGCTGCTGCAGCAGTTTACATTCCTTTTGCAGTACTAATGAGAATTTATATTTAAAGTGCATCTCAAATCAGGAATCTCTAACTAATATACAAGAATAATATGCTAAGGCTTGTGGAAGTATATTTACTAACTCAAATCACCTCGATACCGAGTGCCTTTTGATTTAGTGGCAGGACAGAGAACAAAGTTCAGACAATTAACAGACTTCTTGCAAATAAGTATAGCTACAGATTTGGCCAGATTGTTTTGGGTTTGGTTTTTTTTGTTTGTTTGGTTTTTTTTTTTTTTGCAAATGGAGCTGCACACACATACGTAGAGGGCAGAATTTATCCTACAGAGAAACATTTAATTTGGTAAATGAGTTTAAGCTTTTTGGTAAGTGAGCTTAAGCTTTTAGTTCAGGAAGTTATTTTTCAATACTCAATACTTTTCCTAACCATCTTTCCCAATTCATTTGTTCTATAACTGCAGCTTAAATATCTGCAACTAAATGTGAAATCTGAAATATACCGGTTTAAAAAACAAACCTTTGCTGGTGTAGTACCATGATCTTTTGAAGAAAGCTCCTTAAAGAACATAAAATCAAGCAGCTCCAGAGTCACCTAATTACAAAAAAAATTACTCCTTAAAACCAGTAAATAGCATAGATTGTTTCCTCTGATTTTGCTAGCTAGCAGTTTGAAAACACTTTTTTAACCTTTATAAGACATCACACAGTTTCAGTACCGTTTGGTTGAAGAGACAAAAGTCACTACATTCACTATGGTTGAAGAGAACGTGATCTTAAAGGCAAAAAGCAATTGTCACTTGAACTAGTACATGGTTCTTGCTGCTCTGACTGGAGCTCTGGGGGGAGAGGGGGTGCACCGGGGTCTCCAGGCCCTGGAAGGGTGGCTGAGAAAACAGCACTCTCTGCATTTCCCATCTCGGCAATTGGTAAATTCATCGAATGAAGAGAGACAGCAGACATAAAGGCGGCGGTGCTATAATCTTCTTCTGGATGATGTATCTGGGCAGATTCTTTGTCTTTTGTTTTATCAAAAAAATTAGATTCATCAGAATATGATCTAGAAAGATTATTTGTTCCTCCATAGAGCGTGGTCATACAGGTGCTGCAGCTTAGACCTAAGACAAAAAACAGAGACTGGATTTAATTACAATATGGTGCACTCTTAAAACTGTGCTCTGATTTAGTATCAGCAAGACTGTCAAAGATCAATTGTCTGTATTTTTAACAGACTAACCTCTTCATCTCACCTGTGACATCCCAATATTCCCAACAAATTAAAAAATACACGCAGGTTATCTAGGCTGATGTGAATGATTTTTCTGTATTGGCTACTATTTGACAAAGACGCATCGTAATTTAAGCCCCATTTTAGGAAGTCACTTTAGCCCTTTGACCTATCTTCTGATAGATTTTTCTGTGTTCTTCAAACTTTTAAAAGCTTCAGCTACATGGCTCTACTCCAAAGTGGACTGCATTTGAAGGCTGTTTTACCTGAAGCCAGAGAAAACTTCAGGCCTTTCATCTCTAGGGTTAAAACGTACTTCTTCCTTCTTTATTTCTCTTTTGATGCGCGTGGAAGGGGAAGTAAGGCTTTTGGTTTAGAAGGCTTACACGTTCTTTATCTGCCTTAAGATACGAGTACATATAGTCACTTCAAGCTTTGTGTGTCAGCAAAACCTCTCTACCTGTATGATGCAACACATGCATACATTTACCGTGCCTAATTTTAAGTTTTGGCATTGAAGGCATACAGGAGAATTCCCCTCAGGTTGCATTTGCTGGCTTATCTTCTGCTGAGGTGCAAAGTTTAACAAAACCAGAGCATCCTGCCACTGCAGTAAATATCTCCAAGAGAAATGCAAGATGGAGGATAACCACCTATTTTGAGTTCTGAATTAGAACCTCATAGAAAGCAAGACTGAAATGTGACAACAGACTTATCATAACAACTCATGATAGGTTTTTTTGCAATTTGTTATTTGTGATGTGTTCAGATAGCAAAAAGGCAAAGCCAGGATACATGCACTAGGATCTTAAACCCAAACAGGTGATATTTCCAGGAATGTTGTCCCAAACACTAGAGGAAGAAAAAAAAAAAATCTGTACTAAAAAACATGATTTAAAGAATTGTTGGAGTTTAATTTTGCAGACCCTTAAAATAAAACCTATGTCTTACAAAATACTATTAAAAAGTTCTCACCTTTGAGAGCTTCAAGTTTTTCATTTTTGACTTTCAACACTACGTCAGTTATCTTTTGTAACAGGAAGTTTTGTGTTCTTTCTCGCCTGATAGATTCAATCAAAGCATCTAGTCCCTTTGGGTTTTCTGCTAAGTAGTCCAATAACTTCCCAGTTTTTTTCCTACTGGAAGATCGAGAAGAAATTTCTTCTGTGTCCTCTCTAGTGAGTATTTTCTTTGAACGTAGGTAGTCAAAGTGTCTCTCAGCTATGATTTTATCACACAGGTAAGGACGCATCCTTTCTAAAGCCTGAAAAATAAAACAAACTAGGATTAGCCAGTCTTTCAATTTATTTAGAAGCCTGCATTTGAAACCTATATGATTTTGATACAGGTTAAGGAAACAATTTTTAAAGCTGCCACCATGTTACCTAGCAGATTTTTCTCAGTGTAAAAAAATACTTTTTTTTTTTTTTAAAACGTTATCTAATATACTTAGCCCTTTCATTAGTTTCCTTTGAGTGAACTCAGGAGTTTTAATGCATGTTAAGTAATAAGGTGAATACTCACTGAAAATGTTAGTTACATCAAGTCTGTGGTTATCAAATTTCAGAACATTCACCCAGTAAAAATGAAGTTATACCAACAAAACACAACAGCACCCACTCACTTTGTCTACAGACACACCCATTCGCGCTGACTACCCAACTGCCACATTTCCATACTATCCGTATCCACGAGGCACAACTCCAACATGTTGCAATTATTGATGTTTTCTGTACATTGAGTAAAAGCAGTCTCGGAGCAACAGCATGAATATACTCACTGTTTAAAAGCTTTGTTAAATAAACACTGTTATTTACAAGTTCAACAGATTACTGGCATCCTAAATACACACACTTTTATCCACAGGTGTACCTACTCTTAACTTTACTGGCTGCTTTTTGTCTTCATCAAGCTGCCTTCTTTTGGTTTAAGATTTTATATTAAACATCTGAAGCATCTTGCACACCTCTAACATGCTGCGCAGACCACTGAGAGTTAGTGCAACTCTGATGACTCTGGCAAAAGCAAAATGACTCTACCCTCTGCAGCATAACTTCAGCTTACAAGTATAAACTGGTTGCTTAAGCCCTCTCCATAAGCAGCAAAAAGAAAGAGGTGGAACAATCCGCCCGTGGGAGGGAACCCATCGTCTAAAGACCACGTGCAGTCAATTAACATTGGGTACAATGAAGCAGACACATCTGTCTTGAGCACTTCAGCAGCAGTGCCACTTTGCATCTTCAGGAACTGTAACACCTAGTATCAGATCACATTCCCTCAGAGATCATCTTCCTGGGGAAACATGCTACCTTTTGTAACCATATTCAATTCTAACCTGACTACCAATTTATTTTGGAGGTGATTTTATAGGAGCGATGTCAGAACTAAGAACTGCCATGTCACCACTTTGATTTCCTCCTTGGAAGATCAAGCATCCTCTCTTACACTGACCAATTTATTTTTACAGTTATCGAAACAAAAAACAATCCTCCTCCACCTTGTTCAGAAGGTACATGCAAGCACAAACATCGCCAAAATGTAAATGATATCCATCTTATTTCAATCTGTACATTAACAAGCCTGCTTGATATCAACATCGAAACAGAATCAATGCATGTGTTCACTGAAACCAGAGTTGTATCTACTACTCTGTGAAGATGAGAGTCACAAATGACATCTCTGTGCCTGAAAAACAAGCTCTCATTTTATGTAATGCTACAAAATTGGCAGTTTCTCCTGCCAACATTTTTCACTGTGCAGAATTACACAAGTCAGATACCCACTAGCTGAATATTACTGATGTGAAAAAAACTAACGCCCCCCCAGTCTCATTTGATTCAGAAAAAGAAAAAAAAAAAAAGATTTGAGAGCCAGAAGGAAAAGCACCTTTACAAACAAGACACGTTGGAAAGAAACAAAACTTCTTTCCTGAAGAAAGTTTTCAAATATCCTCCTGTTTTTTGAGATTAGATTTCATAACAGTAGCATTTAAAAATTAAAATTTGAAAATGACTGTTTGCCTTATAGCCATTTACTAGCTCAGTAAATAGAAGCGGAGGGAAAGCTAGATATAAAGACGCACTTTAAGACAGATTATTTCAACGTTGGAAAGAAACAAAACTTCTTTCCTGAAGAAAGTTTTCAAATATCCTCCTGTTTTTTGAGATTAGATTTCATAACAGTAGCATTTAAAAATTAAAATTTGAAAATGACTGTTTGCCTTATAGCCATTTACTAGCTCAGTAAATAGAAGCGGAGGGAAAGCTAGATATAAAGACGCACTTTAAGACAGATTATTTCAAACAGCAAAATACTGCCAGGCATACCAGTGCTAGGGAAAGCACCAATAACTCTTAAAGAAAAAGCTTCCTGGCCTGCTCCACTAAGTATAGCAGAGGATAAATGTGTTCTTCTAGTTGCTCTTTAGGATCTAACAAATACTAAGCTATCAATAAACAGCCTGTGGTTACACAGTTGTTAAAGAAAACATCAGATGAGCATGCACGGAAGATAAAGGAAGGCTTTTGGCAGTAGACTGTCACTACTAGATTGAATACAACGTAAAACCGAAAATGTAAGGGTGCAGCTCCATGGTGGTCAATTTAAGCGCAAGGAACGCTCTCCCCTGCATGGCAGCTGAGTGTTCCTACCCTTTCCCTTGTACTGGATGAGAAGACCCAGTCAAGAAACTGAATTGGTGCTTTTTTCCCCCCCTCCTACAGCCAGATTAATTATCCGATCCAGTTTAATGTGCAGTCACAATTGGCACTAGTGGTGGCACAACAATTATAAGAGCAGAAAAGTGCAACAGTACAGCTTACATCAATTTAGGTGGCTCTGGAATACAACTCAAGTGTCCAACTGCAACAACCCGTGCCTGAATGGTTACGAATGTAGTAGGCAATACAGATTTCTTCAGTTCTCACGAAAATCTCATCCTACGACCAGAAGGATCAATCAACAAACTCTGAAACGCAAGTCAGTCAACGTTTCAACATTAAAAGAATAGAGCGAGTTGTTATTGAATAGAAAGACTCTTGTGTTTTGACTAACACCTTCCTGTAATGAGTCTTTCACTGTATGAAGTGTATCAGTTCTGAATTCCCCTCCGCACTGTCCTCGTAGGTTAACAGTTTATGAGGGACAGAAAGAGTAAACACATCAGAACAGAAGCTTTAAATATACTTTGCTCTACATCGATTATTTTGTATGGCTCACTGCCTCCTTCCCAGCTCTCGGATGTAAGACTCCAACCTTTAAAATTCCTCCTCAAGACAAGTTTACCCAGGCCAAGTTATCCTTGCAAGTTAGCTTTCTGAGGTGTGCTGTCACATAATATAGTCAGAACTTCTGGTAATGCAGCACTCCTGGTTGAAGTGACCCTATCAAAGTTACCTGAACAGCTTTGAAACAGCTAAGTGAGTTCACACTGAACCAGCACTTTGTATCGTGAAGCCACAACATTTAAAATGTGAGAGAAGCAGCTCTAAAGTTGGATTTAATGGACTGTATTTTGATGATAAAACTAATGTTATTTCTTTCTACATATTAGGTTTCCATCAAGTCCTCCAGTTACTATGGGAGACCCTGTAAGATTAAGGGCTGAAGCGACATACGTGCACTTCTGTGAGATGCAGCCGTGAATTCGGTCACTGACACAGATTAACATACATATCATGTTATATATATAATCTGATTTAAGTAGTTCTTATCTTTTTTTGGTGTAACTACCGGATGCTAACTATTGCAGTATTATCCTGTGGTTCCACAGAAGCAAGTAATAACATGAAAATCATGCCTCATAAAACTATGACAAAGCATTTAAAGAAACTTACGTATGCATAAAGCTAGTAAGAAACCAAAGCCAAACTCCAAACGTTCTTTATTGTACTTTAAAGGAACACAAAAAACCAAATAAGGCAAACATAAGACACTGTAAATTACAAGCAGAAGCATGGATGGTCAATAAATAATTGATAAACTGGGATTTAAAAAAATTTTTTTTTTTTAAACTTAACCAACCATTTATTGAGGTTGGTTAGCACATTGCTTGCTTCCCAGTCTAGCAAAGAGGTAAGCAGATCCAGACTGAATCAGGATGAGGTCTTCCCTCAGACTCCAGACACCAGTGAATAAATATGGGGAAAAAAGATACAATCACGAAAATACAGAACAAAAAGCCTCAAAAAAGTTACCGATATTTAATCCAAATATTCGTGCTCTGTAAGAGAGAATCTTATTAACGCCAAGAGAAGCATATACATTTGCAGCTAACCTTTGGATACCGTGTTAATTACTCATGACTTCTTCTACTCTGTCTGCTGTGCCTCATGGCGGTACACAGAGACACCCCGCAAACCAAACCCTCGCTGCTCTGGCCTTGAAACGCGACGGCGGAGTAGACCGCTGAGAGGAAAACAGGAGAAAACTGGACTTTCGGGTGAATACCTGGCCCCCAGGGTCAACTTTTTGCAAGCCGTGATCAGCCTTATACCGGGAAGGCCCCCCGGAGGCCAGAGCCGCTCCCGGCGGGACGC